TTTCAGTTATTGGCCATATACAGTCATACCTAGGTGTTATATTGGCAGCAGACAGATTTGGTTGAAAGGTGTCATCAGCTGACAAGAGGTGGGATGGGAAGACTAATGCCACACACTGTTCTGATCAATGCTGAGGAGACAGTGTGGAAGAAAGGGTCTGAATCAGTCATCTGTGTTGGCCGTCTGTGAGATGTGAGACTGGCAGCAATACTTTACCTACATCAGAAACATCAATAAAACAGTCCTGCAGAACAGCTGGACTTGTATTGCTCATGATTCATGTAAATGTTATATATCTTCATACTAACATATTCAACATTATAAGGAAATGCAAAATGAATCTGTACAGTAAAGATTCTATACATACTTGAGATATACAACTACTGTAATTAAATTGAATGAAACAAAGAACATTGTGATAACCTGAGGTGGAAAAATACATATGTCTATGGTGCAAAAGGAATCCTCCCTACCTTGTATGTCTCTATGTATTCACAAAATACCACATTTCAGAAAACCTGAACAAAACCTAAAACAGGTGACATCATTTGTTGGCGGTGGATGGTCACCTAATTCTGCAGCTTCACTGACACATCAATGTTTGGAATGGCATTGGCCAACCTTACCTTAATTGTAGTCCATCTATTTATATTACTGGGATACCAAGTAGCAATGGAAAAAGATAATATTTGACCAGCTATCACCTATTTATTCTCCAGAGACTGTTTTATACCTTCGCACTGCCCCCACCTGCATCTATCCGGATTTGGAGAGCCGACTCTTGATTCTCTGATAGCCCTCACTGATTCTTTGCTAGCCCTCAGCGCGTGCCAGGGTTAACTGGTTGGGCATATGAATCCCAGCTCTGCCCCAAAATATGAAGTTAAGTTTATCAAGTTACCCAGATTTTATTACCTGTGTCATGTACGTCTTTCCTCAACATGGTGATGTGCTGGCACACAACCATGATTATAAGTAGTTTCAGTTAGTAAGTAGTACTGAGCTTTTACATTAATATATTCTCCTACAGTCCAACTGATCCTCATCATATCAAATATGAATGCTTCATATGTAAGTTATATGTACGAAACCCGTGCCTCTTGGCATCAAGTACCTTCCTTCACTGTCCTGGGACTAGTATCAGCCCCGCCTCCCTCCATCTGCATTACCACTGAAACTGATATCCCGCCTCCCTGGCATCACTCCTCACACCAACCCACAGATCACTGGCTGCTGATGCTTTCTCACAGCTCAGATGAGTACTTGATGGCTAAATCACTGACATGTGAGTTGGCCGAGGATTGTAATCAAATGATGGTGAAGATGGGGTCAGTGAAGCGAGTACTCTGGGTCTTTACAGCAGGCCGGTTGTCGTCCCCAACCTGACACAGCCAACACTGAGTCATCGTAGTCACGTCAGTCACACTTCATTCTAAGCCAAGTACATGTCTCCTGCAAACTAATTTACAATAATTTGTTTCCTGTGTTCTGAAAGCGAAACCCAAATGTCCCTAAACTTAGATCTGTCAGAACACTGTTGCTAGTTTTTGAACATTTGAGGGAAGTTCAAGGTTCGTAGATTACCTCAGCATGATAATTCATTATCGCAATGAAAGTTTGTCTTTTCCCCAGTTTCAGAAAGATCATCTTGTATAATACTACAATATATTGTCAAACTAAAATCTGTGTTGTACATCAGGAGATTATGAAAGTGTAGAATGTCATATGAACACTTGGGATCTTTCTGCCCAGCCTGAAAATTACACTCACAAAACCATATGTTTCAGGTTAATACTACAAGACATAATCTTGTACACAGTTCTTGTTGAACACTACACTATATATATATTGCCTGCTTCAACTTAATTTGGAGTTTCACATTCTGCATCAAATTTCAGAAGACAGTCAACACTGAACATACTCACTTTACTAAAAATAGATATGCTTTGGAAAAATAGAAACTTTAAATGACTTGCAACAGAATTACCTTTGAGGACACCTTGGAAACTAAATACTCTGTGCAACAATTATCATGAATCAAAACTAAAAGATGTCATATTTACAAACATTATCATAATGATCCCCCCAAAAATTTGTTATAAAAGCATACACACCGTGCTCACTTACAATGCTTACATACTCAAACACGGGGAGGTGGTGTCACTGCTTGGGCAGCGTTTCAAGGACTGCTCCATTTCCTGTCACCTGATGTGCAGCTCTGATCATGTACCAACATTTCAGAGCTTTCCTGGCCTAAGTTAGTCCATTCTCTACCTGGTTGAAATCTCAACATTTTGCAATTGTTAATAACTCACCTGTACTTGATATTCAGTTGGTTGTGATGTTTCTGTATTAGAAGATTTATTTATTGGCAGAGTGAATTGTTCCTTACTTTTAGATTGACCCACTGATAGCAGCAGGAATTATTGTCCCTTTTGTGCTTACTTGTCATTGGCCCAATACATGACATATGTTTTCACAAAGGGCTATCAAGAACCCCTCCAGAGTACTACTTCCTAAAGAGTAAACCCTACAGACTGAACTGTGGATTCACATAATCCAAACACCACATTCCAGGATCAGGGCTTAGCTTCTCTGAAAACATGGTATTGTTTGACAGTGGCCCTTCTAACATACAGCACCACCAGGAAAGTTACAACAGAAACAAAAGTGTGATTAAATGTTTTGGCGCGTCAGTTTGATAACTGTGTCCAGTCTTCTTCAGCAGGAGACTAGTGGTGTTTTCAACCTTGACACCAGCTAGTTTCATGAATATTCTGTCTTGTCTCTTGTTGCCACCAATTCAAAGGTCGAAGAGGCTGGGAAGTGAGAATTTACATTCTTGTCACCACAAGGGGTGATTGCATGTCACTAGTCACTGCATAATGTCATGTTACAGATATATAAACATCAGCTGTCATCAAAGGTAGTTACACATTGACAGCCTGCAACTGTCAATGTCACAGACACAGCATCAGCAGCTGACAGCATCGTCGTGTGCCTGACAGACTTACACTATGAAATCACTCACCCTTCAGTAATTCACAATTATTTACAACAGTAACGTCACTCAGCATCTGTACAGCCACAGACCGCTGTGTGTTGTTTCTTCTGTGTGAAATGTCAGTCTCTCTTGTGTGTAGTGCACCATCTCCATCAGAGTGTCTCTTTTATGTACATGTTTGGTGCTGTCTCTCCCATGGGTGTAGCACTCATATATAGAGAGCGTCAACTCCATCACACTTAAGATCTCTGTTTGGAATGTCATTCCTGCAACATGTCACTAGGTTTTAAGACATACAACATCTCACTTGGTTGTAAGTACGACAAGTGTGAATTTCAAATGTCATATATGGTCCAATATGTCACTCCATCAGTGTCTCTCCAGTTTTGTTGTGCACTTAATCACTGTGTCTCCCCAGTGCGTAGTGTACGGATTACATCACCATGTCTCTGTTATTGCACCACTTCCGTTATGTCTCACCTCTCCATCAGAGGGTCTCTCCCATGTGCAGTGCACTAACTCGCTTGTGTCTCTCCGATGTGCAGTACACTATCTCGCTTGGGTCTCTCCTATGTGCAGTGCACTAACTCGCTTGTGCCTCTCCTATGTGCAGTCCTGTGTCTCTCCTATGCAGTGCACTAACTCGCTTGTGCCTCTCCTATGTGCAGTGCACTAACTCGTTTTGCCTCTCCTCTGCCTAACTATGTGCAGTGCACTAACTTGCTTGTGTCTCTCCGATGTGCAGTGCACTAACTTGCTTGTGTCTCTCCTATGTGCAGTGCACTAACTCGCTTGTGTCTCTCCTATGTGCAGTGCACTAACTCGCTTGTGCCTCTCCTATGTGCAGTGCACTAACTCGCTTGTGCCTCCCTAACTCGTTTGTGTGTATGTGTAGGGCACTAACTCCATCACAGCTACAATCTCTGTTTGAAATGTCATTCCTGCAACATTTCACTGGGCTGCAAGTGGTACAAATGTAATACTTCTGTAGCATAATCCATGTAATAAAACAGTTCAGTAAGTTTCTGTCTTTGCCACACAAATCAATACATTTGCATAATATTTGTCCAGCATGAAGTTTGCTAGTGATCTGCACCAGCATGTATAGCCAGTTGTCCTCCAAGCTGACAGTCGCACTCTTGCAGACACTGTATGGATAGTTGGAGTTACACTGTGGCATTACCACATGTATCGCCAGTTGTCCTCCGAGCTGACAGTAGCACTCTTGCAGACACTGTATGGATAGCTGGAGTTACACTGTGGCATTACCACATGTATCGCCAGTTGTCCTCCGAGCTGACAGTAGCACTCTTGCAGACACTGTATGGATAGTTGGAGTTATACTGTGGCATTACCCCATGTATCGCCAGTTGTCCTCCGAGCTGACAGTAGCACTCTTGCAGACACTGTATGGATAGTTGGAGTTATACTGTGGCATTACCACGTCACACATTATTCTGTTTCATCTTAAACAGCTGGCATCAGTGGAGGATCCAATGAATTTGTCCTTTCTGAATGTTTACACTTGCAATGCAGAGGATATCATACATGCCTCTGCAACCCTTGTTAGGATCTCCACCCTAACTGGTGTATGTGTCTTCATGAAGAACTACCCTTAAAGCCACGCTAATACCTCCCAAATAACACAGCAATACTGTAGAATAAAGAAAAAACTCCACTTACAAACACTGAATGTCCAGAATAAGTTCCTGTTCTCATCAACATCACATCACTGATGCTGAATGATCATCAGACAAACGTTGGATTGTGGTGGCTGCATGAGTGATGGATCATCAGATAAACGTTGGATTGTGGTGGCTGCATGAGTGATGAATCATCAGACAAAAGTTGGATTGTGGTGGCTGCATGAGTGATGGATCATCAGCAAGAATCTGATACTATTAAAATCAGCCATTTTCATCTGTTATAACATCTGTTGATTAGTGTGGTGGTGTTTTGTGTATCAGAGTCAATGTAAGGTGTCTTCGTATTATACCATCTTTTAATCAATGTGGTGGTGTTTTGTGTTTTGGAGTAAAGGTAACGTATCCTCTGAATATAACATGTTATTCTATGTGATGGCGTGCCTTAGTTCATCAGATTCTTAAGTTCAAAATAAACTCATACTTGCAATAAATTAGCCAAAAGGAAGTATGTACAACCGACAACTGTTTCAGCAGCCATATTCACTAACACACTGTTCAGTGGTCAACATCTTCAATATGGCTGCTGTGATGTCATACATCAAGACTGTGACAAAATGAAAAAGATACCATAGCTAAGATCATCTTATTACCCTACAGACTTCAGAGGAGATGCCTAAAAAGTAAAATTTATGACTGGTGGAATAAGTGGAATAAGCACAATGACATATGTAATCTCACAATGGCTATTCTGATTTGTATCTGAACAGTAATATCATAATTATTTTTCTGTCATCAATATTTTTGAGTGTCACTCAAACCAGATGTCCAGAGAAAGAAGTTCTCCAGGTAAGTTCCACATATCCCGCACACTTTGACTTCTGGTGATGTTGATATCGCCTTCAGTTGTGTTCCTCAAAAACATCATCCTCATCTACATGCCTCACTCGATACTCGGCCAGCACATAGAACATGATGGCCACCACCAACATTGTCATCAACATGTACAGCTTGGCCGACACACACATGAACGTCCCGCAGCAGAAGGCAATGGTGAGTCCCAGACTCTGGAGCAGGCGGTAGTTGGCAAAAGCTATATCCGGCTCATCTACACAGGTCAGGCAGATGAGAGCTGCAACAACAGATACACTTTTTCTGTAACTGGGAAATGTGGCTACAACTTCGGTTCACAAGAGCTATATGAACAAGAGATGTCATTCTTAATCATTAGGAATAATCACTAAGATACAGTTTTAAGTAAGAATAGTGATAATGAATTCAAATCTCAAATGGCCTAGAGTGAGTTTAATTGTATTTAGCAATAGCATGATGGGGGACACCAGACATGAGATTCACATATTGTACCCATGTAGTTAATTTAACATGGCTCTTTGACATGACGAGCGAACACTTTAACAACTAGGCTACCCTACTGCCCTCAAATCCCCTAGAAGTCAGGTCACAATGACCTAATTACGGTATGAAGTAAATGAACTTGACATTCACAAAAAATAAAATGCAAACATGCGTATCTTTAATACAGTATCATCTCCTTCAAAGTAGTAGAAACATGGACCAAAGACAAAGTCAGAGTCCTCCCCTATGTGAAAGGCATTCAAAGACCCCACTCTACTTGCTCAATCCATAAACTAAACCACCAACTGAAAAAAATCATCAAACATCTCTATTGTTTTTAAAACAGCCACACCTGCAGTACATGAACAAGTTTCAGGAGCACCTTTAGAATACAGCACCACAACTTCTCATGAGGACGATCTCTGCCGTAGGTCACGTGTCATTAAGACAAGCTACCAGTTTGTGAGAACCCGTCGGACGCGAACCCGCGACCTTCGGATTGTTAGCTCGACAGCTAACCGACTGAGCTACGTCCACACTGTTGCACAATGTGCAAATTTATTGAGTCATTCCTGTGACGTCACGGAAATGAACGGAAAGAGTCGAATAGGTCACGGACAATTACGAATGTTACAGGTAGACTTGGTGTCTCGTGATTTTATTCTACGGACAATTGCCGAATGGATCCGATGCCATTTGGCACACTCGTCCAATTCCGTAATCTACAAATTAACGTGTGCCGTGGAATGAGCCGATATGCCTCAAACTGAATAGGGTTGTTGACGTCAGGCATCAGACGTAGATTTCACGGTGCATGCATGAATGACGCGCTTTTATATAAATCGGTGATTTAGTGACAGAAAAGTGATGTAGGGAACACTGTCAGGATAATGTGGATTGCACTAAGGAACGAGGGAGACATGAGCATGTGTAGTGACGGCACGAGGGTGAGTTAGCCTTCGAATCATTACTGAACAAATGTTGCGTATGAAAGAGGCTTGAGTGCAAATTCCAGGCCAATTTCCATTAGCCCAAAATTTCTACATTAACCCATTTCTTAATGTACTTTCGACGTTTTTGGTTTCCCGTTTTTGTGTGAAAAAAATGTATTAAAATGCAAAAAGGAAAAACAACAAATGGTACTCACGTATTACACCGGACATGTACCTACTATATTGGATAAGGTCCCTAACCCTAACCCTAAACCCTCAACCCTAACCCTAACCCCTTGAAATATTTCTAATAAATAGAATGCATTGACCGAACCCCCTGACATGTACCTACTATATTGCATTAGGTCTCCAGCCCAACCCTAACCCTAAACCCTAAGCCCTAAACCCTAGCCCTAGCCCTAGCCCTAGCCCTAGCCCTAGCCCTAGCCCTAACCCTAATCCCTTGAATTAATCCTAATAAATAGAATGCATTGACCGAACCGGCACAAACAAGACTGACGTGTCTAGTGTAATGCATTATTACCGCTTTGAAAAATAAAATACTAATAAAACACTTGCAAATTACTGAATGACAAAAATGTATATGTAAATTTAAAAAATTACAAAATACAAAATACACAAAACATAACACCTCTGCAGCCCGTAATACAAATAAATATGAGCGTATTAGTGAAAAAAGAAAAATATTTCAAACTGGTGCTTGCAAAATATTGCACATCCGCCGGTATACAACTACTGGAAACTCTCAACATCGTTGGGCTTATGCAATGACATAGCTCGTAGAGATGAAACACCAGTGAGCGGAGCTTATACGCACTCGCTGAGCCAGACAACCGTGTTGCCATGCAGGCGTCATAGGGCATTGTTTCGAGAACGTGCTTTCGAACAAAATCACATTACATTACGTAAAAGGGTATTATGACGTATTTTTAAAGTTTGTGGTGCTGTATTCTAAAGGTAGGCCAAGTTTCACACTTCAATTCACTAAACTTATCAGATGTCTTGAACCCTTTGAACACTTACTGTTACACTGTGTCTGCCACACCGCATCACAGACGCCCCAAGCTCCGGCCAGGACAAAAAACAAGACTGGATGCTTGTCTGGTATCCATATAAGGAATCCGATCATGAGTGCAATGTGCATAATGCCGCCAAATCCAAGCACCACCTCCCGGGGTATCCGCTTCCCAGTTAGGGCTACCAAGATGGACCCCAGCATGCTGCAGATCCCCATAGTGATCATTGTGTAGCCCACGTACTCCTCTCCAAGTGTGCAGGTCACATAATGCTGCAAACAAACAGGCACTAATACTCATACCTCAAACACCTTTCCGGATAGATACCTCTCAAATCTTGCCTGTAGGAAAAACAATGATGTCCTGATTTAAACCAAGGGCCATAACTCAGTTCAATTATGAATTGTAAAAGTCACCTATTAATAGCCCCTACAACTCTATCATAGTGATGTATTTTAAGGGCCAATTCTTTGAAATACTAACTGTTTAAACATCCTCTGTTGAAATACATCTTAATACTAATGACCAAGGTGAATTTCTCAAAAAGAAAAATACTTTATTGTAGCCAGAGATACAAGGAAAAACAGCATGTTGCATCATAATGCAGACATACAACTTATTTGGGGTGAAGATAAAAGGATAATAAAGTGTAACAATAGGAGTGAAACAACTTGGGTATTCATTGAAGATTTATTACCTGGTTAAAATCTGAATACATGAAACCTTGTTGTAGGCCAGTAAAAATTAGCAGAGGAATCAGCAGCCGAAATGTTTTGTGAGTCACCATCTGACTGACATGGTCCACCAACATCTGAAACATAGATGACACCATCAACACTTACAGACTCTCTGAAACACCAAAACTATCAACAGCCAGAGTGTCACATTAAACCCACATGACCACCAACATCTGAAACATAGATGACACCATCAACAGTTACAGACTCTATGAAACACCAAGACTGTCAACAGCCAGAGTGTAACATTAAATCCACATGGCCACCAACATCTGAAACATAGATGACACCATCAACAGTTGGAGACTCTGAAACATCAAGACTGTCAACAGCCACAGAGTCACATTAAACCCACATGGCCACCAACATCTGAAACATAGATGACACCATCAACAGTTGGAGACTCTGAAACACCAAGACTGTCAACAGCCAGAGTGTAACATTAAACCCACATGACCACCAACATCTGAAACATAGATGACACCATCAACATATACAGACTCTCTGAAACACCAAGACTGTCAACAGCCAGAGTGTAACATTAAACCCACATGACCACCAACATCTGAAACATAGATGACACCATCAACAGATATAGACTCTCTGAAACACCAAGACTGTCAACAGCCACAGAGTCACATTAAACCCACATGGCCACCAACATCTGAAACATAGATGACACCATCAACAGATATAGACTCTCTGAAACACCAAGACTGTCAACAGCCACAGAGTCACATTAAACCCACATGGCCACCAACATCTGAAACATAGATGACACCATCAACAGTTGGAGACTCTGAAACACCAAGACTGTCAACAGCCAGAGTGTAACATTAAACCCACATGACCACCAACATCTGAAACATAGATGACACCATCAACATATACAGACTCTCTGAAACACCAAGACTGTCAACAGCCACAGAGTCACATTAAACCCACATGGCCACCAACATCTGAAACATAGATAACACCATCAACAGTTACAGACTCTATGAAACACCAAGTTTGTCAACAGCCAGAGTGTAACATTAAATCCACATGGCCCCCAACATCTGAAAACATAGATGACACCATCACAGTTGGAGACTCTGAAACACCAAGACTGTCAACAGCCACAGAGTCACATTAAACCCACATGGCCACCAACATCTGAAACATAGATGACACCATCAACAGTTGGAGACTCTGAAACACCAAGACTGTCAACAGCCACAGAGTCACATTAAACCCACATGGCCACCAACATCTGAAACATAGATGACACCATCAACACTTGGAGACCCTGAAACACCAAGACTGTCAACAGCCACAGAGTCACATTAAACCCACATGGCCACCAACATCTGAAACATAGATGACACCATCAACAGTTACAGACTCTCTGAAACACCAAGTCTGTCAACAGCCAGAGTGTCACATTAAACCCACATGACCACCAACATCTTAAACATAGATGACACCATCAACAGTTGGAGACCCTGAAACACCAAGACTGTCAACAGCCACAGAGTCACATTAAACCCACATGGCCACCAACATCTGAAACATAGATGACACCATCAACTTTTACAGACTCTATGAAACACCAAGACTGTCAACAGCCAGAGTGTCACATTAAACCCACATGACCACCAACATCTGAAACATAGATGACACCATCACAGTTGGAGACTCTGAAACACCAAGACTGTCAACAGCCACAGAGTCACATTAAACCCACATGGCCACCAACATCTGAAACATAGATGACACCATCAACAGATATAGACTCTCTGAAACACCAAGACTGTCAACAGCCACAGAGTCACATTAAACCCACATGGCCACCAACATCTGAAACATAGATGACACCATCAACAGTTGGAGACTCTGAAACACCAAGACTGTCAACAGCCAGAGTGTAACATTAAACCCACTGTCACATCTGAAACATAGATGACACCATCAACATATACAGATTGAAACACCAAGACTGTCAACAGCCAGAGTGTCACATTAAACCCACATGGCCACCAACATCTGAAACATAGATGACACCATCAACAGTTACAGACTCTATGAAACACCAAGTCTGTCAACAGCCAGAGTGTCACATTAAACCCACATGACCACCAACATCTGAAAACATAGATGACACCATCAACAGTTGGAGACTCTGAAACACCAAGACTGTCAACAGCCACAGAGTCACATTAAACCCACATGGCCACCAACATCTGAAACATAGATGACACCATCAATCAACAGTTGGAGACTCTATGAAACACCAAGACTGTCAACAGCCAGAGTGTCACATTAAACCCACATGACCACCAACATCTGAAACATAGATGACACCATCACCCTGAAACACCAAGTTGGAGACATTCTGACCAACACCAAGACTGTCAACAGCCTCTGAAACAGAGTGCCAACATTAAACCCACATGGCCACCAACATCTGAAAACATAGATGACACCATCAACAGATACAGACCTCTGAAACACCAAGACTGTCAACAGCCACAGAGTCACATTAAACCCACATGGCCACCAACATCTGAAACAGAGATGACACCATCAACAGATACAGACTCTCTGAAACACCAAGACTGTCAACAGCCACAGAGTCACATTAAACCCACATGGCCACCAACATATGAAACATAGATGACACCATCAACAGTTGGAGACTCTGAAACACCAAGACTGTCAACAGCCAGAGTGTCACATCAAACCCACATGGCCCCCTGGTAACAAGACTTCAGCTCCATATGCCTGACAACAATCCATCAGTGGACTGATTCATATATATCTCATTTGTCTGTAACACTTATAACCACCCTCACGGAAATCAGGGTCAGATGTTTTTAGAACATTTTTTAACCTTGGTATACATGACATAACCATGAAAAATAAAAATCAGTCACAATCAATAAAGACCCTCTCATGAATATCAGAATATCACAGACATTTCTTGAAAATGAAATAAATGTGATGTTCCAATAATAGCAAATGTTTGTACTGTATGGGCATCAAATGGGTATAACATCAAATTCATCAGACAGAACATTATGCAAGTAGATGAGGCTTGAGAGAAAAACAGGCACTATTTACAGACGAGTTATGGGAGCAATCCTCCAAGGCTAAGATAAACATCACAATCAAATCTGGTAGCTTGGCCTGGATCAAAGTCTTTGTACGAACATGTAATTGGATAATTGTGGGTTTATTACAAATCTGATGAAAATTGGTCGATACAATTTCTCAATTACAACTAAATCATTGGGTATGATTGGATTACTGATGGCAGTTAATGTCATTTTGCAAGTCTATTTAGAGGCAAGGCAGCTACACAAGCCAGCATCAGTAATGACATTAACTACTCAAAGACTTCTGGTTCTTGTCAATAACAAAATACTACACTTAAAGTGTGGATGTCTGCTTGGTATTAGATAGTCTACTGTGTTTAATTCATGGATTGTATGTGATTCATCGACAGTAAAAAAAGACAGACATAGAAATTAACACTTTCCTTAATGAAATGGAAGTGAAATCTAATATAATGCACATTGTTGCTCAGTGGTACAGCTGATTGTAATCAAACTGTCTATGATAACACCTAGATTACCCAGGTAAATTTGAGTCCGACATATAAACCAATGTGTGCAATTACAAAACAAAAACAAATTATTACAAAATGCTATTGATACAAATCTTTCTGCACTATAACGGAGGACTCTGTGCTATAGGGATGAAACTCTTCCTTGCCCCCATGGGTGAAACCTAGGGTGAAACCATTCTTAACTTGTTTTGTTTTAAACATATTTTATTCACTGAGAAAAGGATTAGGAACAAGCTCTCCTTGAGGGTATTTTCTTAGCTTCCTGGGCTGAAACAATTCCTGGGTACCTGGGATGAAACAATTCTGGGTTACCTAGAGTGAAACTATTCTTGGCATGGGTTAAAGCAATTCTTGGTTACCTGGGCTGAAACCTACCCTGACTTCCTTGAGTGAAACCCTTCCACGTTATCTAGGGTGAAACCCTTCCAGGCTACCCAGGGTGAAACCCTTCCAGGTTACCTAGGGTGAAACAATTCCAGGCTTCCTGGGCTGAAACAATTGCTGGTTACCCGGGATGAAGGCTGGAGTTGTCTGCATCCTGTGCTATGTATACGTTAGCACCCTCCTCAAGGGTGATATGGATTTCAGCGTTCGAGCCGTCAGGTGAGAGCGTTGAATCCATATCACCCTCAGAGGGGGGGTGCTAACCTACTTATACCACGTGGGTGCCGAATGGACTCGTACATTGCTTGTTGCACTTGCGTTTCCTGCACTGCCAAGGTTGTTATCCACATATCAACCTCTGCACTTGCAGATAGAAGGTTGATACACAGAAAATCAACCTGCCAGAACAATGGACATAACATACCCTAGTGGTATAAACTCTGATATCAACTAACGGTTTTCTGCATTAGGTTGTATGCACTGATACCACCCAAAGGCAGTCTGTACTAAGTGGTATATGTTGATATCAACCAAAGGTAGTCTGTATCACATGGTATCTGTGATATTTATCAAACGTAGTCTGTATCCATGCAATGATTCATGCCAAGTTGACAATTCAAAACCCTAATGTTTTATGTGCACAAGCTCCCGACACTGAAGTCTACCATTGTCATCATACCTTGGTGTGTTGGTACACACTGAGATACATGTCATGAACCATCCAGGAATTAAAGACAAATTACCTTCTGTACCTCTCATTTGTTTCATACAGAGCAGTTGCATTACCTTAGAATTTCTCAAGACAACTGGTTCTAACACTACTAACCTTGTCACTCCATCACTACCAGAGTGAACTGGGATCTGCATCACTTTGCAGTCCACTTGCCACTAGTTTGGTAATAAATAATATTGAATGAACAACTCTGAAATCTCTGAACATATAGGACATGCATCTGGTGACTTGTCATAGTGACTGAGATAGGACAGCCATGGGTCAAATAATTCCAAAGGCCAAAAAACTATGTAGCCCAAATATGTATGACTTAATTGCAATTATTGATATGACGCTGATCTCCATTA